CGCTGTGGGTCAGAATAGACTCCACGGCAGTGGGTGTGGTTTGGGCTTTGCTTCTGTGAAGATTGACAGCCTTGGAGACCCTGTGGGCAGTTCCACTCCGTCCTCTAGGGGTGCTGTGGGTAGGAATGGACTCCAGGGCAGTGGGTGTGGTTTGGGCTTTGCTTCTGTGAAGACTGACAGCCTTGGAGACCCTGTGGGCAGCTCCATTCTGTCCTCTAGGGGCGCTGTGGGTCAAAATAGACTCCACGGCAGTGGGTGTGGTTTGAGCTTTGCTTCCCTGAAGATTGACAGCCCTGGAGACCCTGTGGGCAGTTCCCATCTGTCCTCTAGGGGCGCTGTGAGTCAGATTGACTTGATAGCATTTCACTGCCGTCAAGTCGATCGACTCAGAGCGACCCCTCCTTGGGTTTCCAAGGCAGCATCACTGAGGCATTAGTCTTCCTTCTGAGGAGTGACGGGTGGGTTTCAATGACCAGCCTCCTGGTTAGCAGTCAAATCCCTTGGTTTCATTAACCAGTGTAGCCCCATTACAGCCAAGAAAAGCCTAGGAGCAGTTCTATTCTGTAGCACCTGGGTCCCCGTGAGTTGGAATGAACTCATTGGCACTGGGGCGTTTGTATGTGTCTACACAAAGCCTCGGAAGAGGATTCTGCCACAGGCCAGCATTCGGCACCCACTGGCTCAGGTGGGGGTGACCCCCCGACTCTGCGTGACTGAGCCTAGTAACTGCAGGGTTGGTGCACCATTCACCTCTGTTCACGACCCTCCCGTCGGCCTTCACTTCCTCCCAGGGCCAAGGTTTCATGTCTCTGTCCCTCCTCCTTAGGCCCTGTTTTAAGTTACAGTCCGTATCAGAGGCTTGCCAGCTGTGTCATCCACACTGTGGGGACAGTGCCCAGAACTCGATAGCCCACAGAAAGTGAGCACGCAGCCTTTTGCTGTCCTGGGAATCCCATCACTACAGCCTCAGTGCGTGACGGGCTTGGCCAGGCCACTGCTGAGTTTCTGCCCAATAAACTGAGACAAATATTGCAATTTACTCTCCAAGGAAATGTACTGTTTCAAGCACCACTGTTTCCTTGTTGAACAGGCGGTCGAGTATGTAGAGACTGGCAACTGGCTGAGAGTGTCCTTTGGTAACAGAGACGCACAGGAGGCTTTCTGCCCGCTCGCCTGTGGATTGCTGTTCTGCATGCCATTGAAGTAGTATAATTTGGGGAAGAAGGACAGCTAAGACTTTTTAAAATGTGCTGGTAGGCTGCACGGTTGTCCCTGCTGCAGGCCTGGTGGCTGGCTGGGGTCCTTTATTTGACCTGCTTCGGGAGTTGGTGTTTAGTTTAGATACTGAAACCTGTAAAATACTGTGTCATAAATACCAACCTTTATGGACCCGTTGGGATCGTCCCTCTAACATGTGAATTAAGATACCCCATCATTCCAGCCCATAAACTGAAAAGTAACCTTCACCCTGAGTGTCAATCTGCATTCTGAGACCTGGGGGTACGGACTGTCTTCAGCCGCAGGTCACTGAATCCTAAGTTTGTGTGGTCGCTGGTCACTAGCAACTGATGGTGGCGTCCGCCAGAGTGCTCTCACAGGACACAGACCGCACAAGGGGTCTTTGAAGTGCACCTCTCTTACTTAGGGTCATTTGTTTTCTGTTTCCTCATTTAAAGAGCCGCCCTATTTTACCGCTGAGCCGGACAGTCGCATTTTGGTTGAAGTTGAAGAGTCCGTGGACATCGTGTGCCGAGCAATGGGTGAGTGTGGGAAGCTCTGGAACGCAGCCAGGACTTGGGGGCAGGCAGGTGGTCTATTTCCAGGCCTGGGTGGGCGGCACGGAACGTGATGGGTAAGGTCGGAGGCTTTGGAGGGGAACTCAGTTAAGCCCTGGGGGGCATGATGGTGAAGCAGCCGCCTGCTAACAGGAAGGCTCTAGTCGTCCCCCCCGAGGCGCCTTGGAAGAAAGGCTTGGTGATCTCTTTCCGGAACACCGGCCCCTGGAATCCCTGTGGAGCCCCTTTCTGGTCTAACACAGATGGCGCCACCACGAGCAGAGCCAAGTCCACCACAGCTGCTCCTGAGACTGTGGGACACGGCATTGACCGCGCTCGGCCTTTGCTGCCTGGTCCGTGAAGCAGCAGAGATCATACTTAGCCAAGGAGACCAGAAGGAAGGCTTCGCCCCACTCGTCCCAAACAAGGGAGAGGCCAGCGGTCACACCCTCAGAGCTCCCCTTCGACTGCTCCGATTCCACAAGATGAAGATAGAAGCCTCCTTCTCACCCACGGCGACTGAGACACGTCCGCTCTGTCGAAAGGAGACAGAAGGTCCACTCCCGCCCACGATGACTGAGACACGTTTGCTCTGTAGGAAGGGAGATTGTCTTTAATTGTTCGGGTAGGAAATCTCCCTCTATTTTGTCCTGTCCTGCTTCACATTTGACTGTTAACTAGAAGGCTGGAGGTTCAAACCCACCAGCCACTCTTCAGAAGGAAGACTGGACAATCTACTTCCATAGAGATACCACCTCGGAAACCCAAGGAGGGGTCACTATGAGTCAGATCTGACTCGATGGCGGTGAGTTTCTTTTTTGCTTCAAGCAGCTTCTCTCTGGTTATTCGGACGACCCTTCCCGCTCCCTGTTACTGGCTGTCCACTGCCACCATTTCAGGTCTGTCGGGCAACACAGGGAGTTACCAGGACCCGCTGACAAGGACGGGTTCCCTGAGGTGGTCCATTCACAGGGCTGTGCCCTGTCAGGAGCCTTCTCTGTGTGGACACCTATCCATGCAGTGAAGGGGAGTGCTTCTTCCTACCAGGTCCCAGGTGACGCGGCAGCCAGCGTGTTTGGCTGCTGCCCAGACGCCAGAGGTCCCAGTCCACCCGGGGGCCCCAGGAGAGAGGCCTCGTGGGCTGCTGAGAAGTCAGCCCGGCCCCCGCGAACCCCACGGGGCGCGGTCCTGCTCTGACCCCGACGGGCCACGTGAGTCAGCTCAACCCAATGGCGTCTGGTTTTGGGGGTGTTTTGGTATTTTCTTCCACACCCCCAAGAACTTAGACGGTAAGAAGTGCTGGCAGTTTTGTAAATCTTCAAAACAACTCCACCGGAGACATACTGGTATCTCATTTACGTGTGAGGAGACCACACCTCGGGCAGCAAGCGCAAGTAGCAGCCAGGATACAGAGCCACGGAGGTGAGCTGAGGAGCTCTCTTTATGGCCGGTGCCCAGGGCCCACCGTGGGGCACTCCCTGTACGACCAGCACCCAGGGCCCACTGTGAGGGCGGTGAACCGGGATGCTCGCTGTACCATGGAGGCACTGAACCGAGGCACTCCCCACAGGACCAGCACCCAGGCCCACCTTGGGGGCGGTGAAACCAGGCACTCCCTGCACAGCCAGCGCCCGGGCCCACCCGGGCCTGCTCCCTCTATCCTGGCCCAGTAACTTCCCTGCAGGAAAACACAAACCAGTTGTCATGGCGTGGACTGTGCCTGGCGATCTCATAGGCGTCAGAGTGGAACTATGTCCTCAGGTCTTTAATGATTGATTCTTTCAGAAGTAAATTGCCAGCCCTTTCCTTCGAGGCACCTCTGGTGGACTCACGGCTCTGCCTTTGTGAGGAGCAGCATAACGCTCAGTGTTTGTACCACTCAGAGACTCCAGGCTGCCTGCAGCCACGTGGTCATGGAGGCAGGACCCCAGCCACTTCCAGCTGCAGGACACCTGTCTTCCCCCGAGGACCAGGCCCTGAGACTTGGAGCACTTATCATCCCTCTGTAGGCATGAGGGCTCCACAGCCAATGCCAGGGAAACAGCAGTCAGAAAATCAGATGGCATCACAATGCACTGGGCAAATCTGCTGCAAAAGACCCCTTTAAAAATCTCACAAAGCTAAAGTCGGGATACTGTCAATTAAAACTTCAGTTCTGATTTTGGAGAAAAAAAATTTTAAAAAGTGAAGATGTCCTTTTAAGGACTAAGATGTGCCTAACCCAGGCCAGGGTGTTTTCAGTCACCTCCTATGCATGTGAAAGCAGGACAAGGAATAAGGAAGCCCAAAGAAGAGCCGACAGCTTTGAACGACGGCTCTGGCAAAGAATATTGAATGTACCGTGGACGGCCAAGAACGAACACATCTGTCTTGGAAGTACAGCTGGAGTGCTCCTTAGAAGTGAGGATAGTGCAGCCTTGTCTTGTGAACTTGGGACATGTTGTCAGAAGGGACCATTCCCCAGAGAAGGACGTCGTGCTTGGTAAAGTAGAAAAACAAAACCCAAACTCACTGTTGTCAAGTCAATGACTCATAGCAACCCTTCCTTGGGTTTCCGAGGCGGTATCTCTATGGAAATAGATTGCCCGATTTTCCTTCCAAGGAGTGGCTGGTGAGTTTGAACCACCAGCCTTCTGGTTAGCAGTCAGGTGCCTTAGGCACTGCGCCCCCAGAGCTCCCTGGTAAAGTAGAGAGTCAATGAAAAAGAGGAAGGCCCTGAACAAGACGGACCAACACAGTGGCTGCAACGATGGGCACAAACACGTCAACGACTGTGAGGCTGGCGCACGACTGGGCAGCATCCCGTTCCTTTGTACACTGGGTCGCTGTGAGTCAGAGCCAATTCAGTGCCACCTGACAACAATGTGGGCACAAGTCCATGGTGTCATTCTTCAGCTGTGGGCATGGGAAGCTGCCTGGAGGCTAAAGGTGGTGGGCGTCAGCATCTGGCTAGCTCTGCTCTCTCCTGGCTGAGCTGCGGGCCCTCCGCCATGGTCCCACCGCCACGGTCCCCTGCCACAGTCCCCTGCCACGGTCCCGCCGCCACGGTCCCACCGCCACAGTCCCGCCACCACAGTCCCCTGCCACGGTCCCACCGCCACAGTCCCCTGACACAGTCCCACCACCACGGTCCCACCGCCACAGTCCCCTGACACGGTCCCACCGCCATGGTCCCACCGCCACAGTCCCGCCACCACAGTCCCCTGCCACGGTCCTGCTGCCACGGTCCCACTGCCATGGTCCCGCCGCCACGGTCCCGCCGCCACAGTCCCCTGCCACGGTCCCGCCACCACGGTCCCACCGCCATGGTCCCGCCGCCACAGTCCCCTGCCACAGTCCCACCGCCACGGTCCCGCCACCACAGTCCCCTGCCACGGTCCTGCCGCCACGGTCCCACCGCCACGGTCTGGCGGACTTGCTCACGGGCAGTTGTGCTGCGGCTGCTGGTCTGCCCCCATGGGCTGCTCTCTGTTCTGCTTCTGTTCCTCCGTCTTCCGGCCCCACCGGCACTCATGACCGGCAGAAGCGGGATGACAGGCCAGTGGGAATCGGAAATGGAAGTACTTTCCGAGGCCTGGTGACATTGTTCCGTTTCTTATGTGAACACCAGCTTTGCAAGGCCAACGGCTTGGCGACTGCAAAGCTATAAAACGTTTGGAGCACTCATAGTTTAGAAACAAGCACGTGGCATACCACAGGGGCCACGGGTCTGTTTATGACGTTATGTGGGCCCCGGATAGAACGCCCATCCGTGACGCACAAACAAGGATTTTCAGTCCATGACTGTCTCTCTCTCTCTCTCTGTGCCTGATCTCTGCAGGGGACCCACTCGTTCAGTGTAGACTCATAAATGCCGATTGGACAGCCCTTTCCCCATCGCCTCTCCATCCGGGAACTTCCTGGTTCTCTTCATCTTGATGGTGAAGCTGCAGTGGGTGCGGGAAGGGGCTGTTCTCTCTGAAAGCTCCCTCCTGAAATTGCTATTAGGAGGTTCTCCATGGGTTGGTTATGTTTTTCCTTGAAATGAAGTTTCGTTGGTTTTATTTATTTATTTATTTTTAAGTTCCTGATTTAATGAAAAGTGACAGGAAACATAATTAAGGCAAATGAAGAACTTGCAAATTCCTAATCTTGAAAACTTCCATGACATTAACCTTCCTTATTAAAGAAGACACTTTACATCTATGTTGCATCTTAAATTAAGGTGTGCTTTTCACCCCGAATCATGTCAACATGTGTTTTAAGTCCATTTCGTACTCAGGGAAACTGAGGTAGAAAAGCACTGGGGACAGGCTGTTTCTGCACCTTCCCACAGGCCCGCAGCAGGCCTCTTGGCCACCATGCACCTAGACGCTTGGGCTCAGTTGTCTCCACGTCTCCCCTTCCCCCCTCTTGGCCCTCTTGCATGGGCTTGACTTTCCCAGTCTCAGAAGGGGTCAGGGGAAAGCCATGAGGAAGTGGTCTTCCACCAGTAACCCACCACCCAGAGACGCTGCCAAGAGACTGAGCCCAGCGTTCCCCACCCGCCCATAGCAAGGCCCCAGAGGGATCCCTTGGTGTCCATCGGGGTGTGGGCCCTGACCCGTGGAGAGCCCCCCCACGGTGGGCTGGGTTTCCGCAAACAGGAGCACAGACGTGTGCAGGCTCAGGGCAGCACCAGGAAGGACTGAAGTCCCGGGGCTGGGAGTCCACGCAGTGCTTCCTCTTGACAACTTTCTGCGCCAGCTTTTTCATATACGATGAGGAAGCTATCACCTCACGGGGACGGGGGCACAGACACAGGAAGAAGTGCCTGTAAAATTGCCCTTTCAGCCTTCCAAACATCCTTGCCTCGGTTCTGGGGACTTAAACCTTTGGGTTTGTTTGTGACAGCCTGTATTTCCTCTCCTGAGCAGGCGTCCCCCTGCCCACCGTCCAGTGGTTCAAGGACGCGGTCTCCATCAGCAAGCTCCAGAACCCCCGGTACAAGGTGCTCTCGAGCGGAGGCCTGCGCATCCGGAAGCTGCAGCCGGAAGACTCCGGCATCTTCCAGTGCTTCGCCAGTAACGCAGGCGGGGAGGTTGAGACCCACACCTACCTGGAGGTCACCAGTGAGTACCGCCCAGAGCAGCCACAGCCAGTCCACCCGCTGGACCCGGCCACACAGTCCACTGGCTGGGCTCAGTCCACTGGGGCAGAGGAACAGGGTGCTGTGGCCGAGGGGACCGGGCTCAGGGGAGCTGTGCCATGGGGTCAAGTTGCCTGGTGCTGCTCCAACAGAAATACCACAGCGGGATGCTTTAACAAACAGAAACGTGTCGCCTCGCAGGTCAGGAGGCAGGGAGGCTGAGTTCCCAGCGCCGGCTCTAGGGGAGCCCCCACCCTCCGCTGGGTCTGGGGGTGGGGAGGGTCCTTGGTTCAGTTTCTTGAGCCCCGGCGGCCCTCCGGCCCTTGGCGATCCCCACACACACCTCTTGTCCTGTTGGGGGTTGCTCTGTTCTCTGTCGATCTCCTTTCTTTCTCCTTCAAAGTTGGGAAGTTTCACACACGCCCTCCAGGGACCAAAAAAAACCTCTTCCCCGACAGGGTCACGGCCACAGGCATAGGGGGATCGCAGCACTTATTCTGGGGGAACACCGTTCAGTCCATCACGCACAGGGACATGCTGCTGACACCCGTGTTCCCTGAAGACGCCAGCTGCTCCCCTGCGACATCTCCATCCACCCCCCGCCCCGCACGCTCCTCCAATGGAGGACAAGTACAAAACTCGTCATGTTCCTGCACAGGACCGGAACGAGTGTTGAATGACCAGCCGCCTCCCAATCTTCCTTTGGTCTTTTTTCCGTCTTCTACATCCATCCTCTATTTTGGTTTTATTGAACAATTACAGTTCTTTGTGGATTTCTTTTACTATCCTATTAACAGAAGTACCTTGGCACTCTCTCTCCGAAAACGAAAATAAGAGTCAAGGCTCTCGTTGTGTCTGTGATTATCCCTTTTAATCTCCCATGGTTGTCCCGTTGTTCTTCTGATGTGAGGGGCAGTCGAGTGGCCATGAAATGCTTCCTGTCCCTTTTGTCCTTCCGGGAGCAAAATGCTGATCCCCTCAGGTGCTAGATCTTTCCCGAAAGCCAGTCAGCATCAAGAGTGACGTGTGGCGCGCAGCCTTCGTTGTCCAGAGCCTGTGAGAAGCCAAGGAAGCCTAGAAAGTTCCACACACACAGTGGAGAAAACTTGGGGCCACTTGTGTGAACCTTGCCCAGGGGTCCTTTGTCCTCTGGTGTGGAGCTTTAGAAACCACTGCTGCTTCGAGCAGCATGGGGGACGTTGGGTGCTTAAGCTGGAAACAAGTTTTGATCAATGAGGATTATTTAAAGCCTGCCTTGGGCCGAGACACTCCGGGCAGGGGCCAGCCAACCTTTGCTGTAAAGGGACAGGTAATATTTTAGACGTTGAGGGACATCGTCTCTGTTACAGTGACTCAGCTTTGCTGTTGGAGGGTGAGAGCAGCCAAAGACAGTATGAACATGGGTGTGTTCCAATAAAACTTTATTTACAAAAACAGACGACGGCCTGGGTTTGGCCTCAGTTTGTAGTTTGCCAACCCTTGTTCCAGGGAAAAGGAGTCCTGATGGCGCAGTGGTTAAGCACTTGGCTGCTAACTGAAAGGTCGGTGGTTTGAACCCTCCAGCCGCTCCACCGGACCAAGCCCTGCTGACCTACTTCTGTAAAGATGGCAGCCTGGGAAACCCTAGGGACCACTTCGGCTCATCCTGTGGGGTCACTGTGAGTCAGAAGTGACTGGACGACACCTAGCGACAGCAGTGACTCAGGGGAAGACCTGGGACTGGAAGCTGAGAACTGAGGCAGACAGTGCTGTCTCTCAGCCTGGCTTTCCTTATGTCCTCCCTGGAGCCAGCCCGGCCCCTTCACAAGTGATGGGACCAGATTGGAAATGTAAACCAAAGTGCTTACTAAAACGGCCACTGTGGCAACCAGAGTGCAAACACTAAGTTATGTTTTGTAACGTGGATTTTTTTTCTCAAATTAAAACACCATTCATCAAAGGAAAAAAAAAAATGCCTAGAAAATCAGTATTTATTCCTTCACTAAACACATGTTGCTTGAGCATCCCTGTCAGACAGTGAGACTGCAGCTGTGAAGAAGATGGGCGGGTCTGTGAGGACAACACGTGGGTCTGTGAGGATGATGGGCGGGCCTGTGAGGACAACACACGGGTCTGTGGGGACAACACGTGGGTCTGTGAGGATGATGGGTGGGTCTGTGAGGACAACACATGGGTCTGTGGGGACAACATGCAGGTCTGTAGGGATGACATACAGGTCTATGAGGATGATGGGTGGGTCTGTGGGGATGATGGGTGGGTCTGTGAGGACAGCACAAGGGTCTGTGAGAATGACGGGTGGGTCTATGAGGATGATTGGTGGGTCTGTGAGGACAACACATGGGTCTGTGGGGACAACATGAGGTCTGTAGGGATGACATACAGGTCTATGAGGATGATGGGTGGGTCTGTGAGGATGATGGGCGGGTCTGTGAGGACAGCCAGAGAGTCTGTGGGGATGATGGGTGGGTCTGTGAGGACAGCACAAGGGTCTGTGAGAATGATGGGTGGGTCTATGAGGATGATTGGTGGGTCTGTGAGGACAACACATGGGTCTGTGGGGACAACATGAGGTCTGTAGGGACGACATGCAGGTCTATGAGGATGATTGGTGGGTCTGTGCAGAAGACCTGTGGGTCTGTGAGAACAGCACAGGGGTCTGTGGACATGATGAAAGGGTCTGGCTGTGCTTCCAGGGGGAGGGGCCCGGGGGGAGAGGGACAGTCCTGGGCGAGATGGCCTCGGGAGAGAAGGGCCCAGCCGTGTGTGACTGGACGGTCAGGAGTTCTCTGAGGAGATGATGCTTGAGCTGGGCCCTGCAGGGGAAGGAGCCCGCTGTGAATGTCCTCAGGGTGCACATGTCACGTGGGATCCACAGGCCCCTCATGGAGCCCCCCACATGTTTGCAGGTGGAAGATGGCCAGTGAGAACAGAGCCTGGTGCTGAATACGGGCAGTGGGAGGAGAGGCGGGGAGACGGGTCTCAGAGCAATGAGGAGCCCTGGGACGTGGGAGGGAGGGCATCCTGGGTGCTGGGTGCTGGCTCTGCTGTTGGGTGGTGGTGGGGAGCCCCTGGGACACAGAAGGGTGGGCATCCTAGGTGCTGGGTGTATTGTCAGGCGGTGGGGGGGAGCCCTGGGGCACGGGAGGGAGGGTGCCATGTGCAGGGTCAGGGGTGGCAGTGGGGAGCCCTGAGGCCAGGCAGGAAGCATCATCGAGATAAGACCCTCAACTCAGGTGGCAGCAAACAAACATGGAAGGAATGAACAGCTTCCGGCTGGACTTTGGAGGTGGGGTCTCTGAGTAGTTGAACAATTCAAACCCTCGCTGCTGACCGAAACGTGGGTGGTTCAAACCCAGCCAGTAGGGCCTCAGAAGAAAGGCCTGGTGCTCCACTTCAGAAAAGGCAGCCATTGGAAACTTGTGGAGAGCGTGTCCACTCTGACACACACAGCGTCACCGTGAGTCAGAGAGGACTCTGTGACACCTGCTCGGATTTTAGATCTTTGGTCGGGATCCCCACCAGGGGAAGGAACAGGAAAGTGGCTGAGCCCTGGTCCCCAATGTCCTTCCTGCCACTCCTCCAAGTGGACCCTCAGCCCTCACAGAATATGTGGAATTCTCTCAGGCTCCACCAGGGATGACAGTTCAACCGTTACCAGAGGAGCACAAAGTCAGACCATCACTGGAGCCCACCTGAGTGACCTCCTCTCTCCACTCAGTTGGACCCTTGCTAAAGCCCACCTGTGTGACCTCCGTCCCTGAAGCCCCCCTGTGTGATTTCCCCTCTCCACTCAGTTGGATCAGCTACTGGAGACCATCATGGTCCCATGAACACAAAGATCCTTCCAGCACTGGGGTCCACAGCAGTGCCTGGAAATTGATCCTTACGCAAGTCCTTAGACACTGGTTGTCTGCTTTGAACTTTGAGAACGGATCCTAAAAGTGTGGGGGTGTCCCCTTCTGGGTGACACCTGTGTGTTAGCAGGGGGCTCTGTCTTTCTTAAGGTGGGAGCCACTGGTGCACTTTCTCTCAGTGGCTGCATCTCCACTCGAGAACATTCTCCCAGCCCCGCCCTTCCCAGCCCTGCCCTTTCCTACTGCACATCCATGACCTTGTGAGGGTGCAGTCCCTCTGTTTGTGAACAACGATGGGTGGTCCCTGGGAGACGCATGATGAAAACTCCAGGTCACCCTGCCAGGTTCTTTATAGCCGCAGTTACCTCTTTGATTGGCTCTATAAAATCCCATATGGGATGGCACACCACGTGGTCTGAGTGTCTCTGAGGATCAAGGTATTGACTTGTTAATTTCTGTACGCAGATATCGCTCCGACGTTCACTCGGCGCCCTGTGGACACCACAGTGACAGATGGGATGACAGCCGTCCTCACGTGTGCAGTGTCTGGGGCTCCCAGACCTGCCCTTGTGTGGAAAAGAGGTGGGTCTCTTTCTTGTTCCAAGACAGCGTGGCCAACATAGAAAATGAATGTGCCGGGCAAGGGTTGTGTTAAATTATCCTCGTTGGGAGCCACCCATCCGTCCTTTCTCTCACTGGGAGCCACCCATCCGTCCCTTCTGACTGGGAGTCATTCATCCCTTCATTCTCTCACTGGGACTCATCCATCCCTTTGTTTTCTCACTGGGAGTCGTCCATTCATTAGTTTGTTCAGTCAGGATTAAGTATCAGTTATTGATCAACTGCCAGGTGCCAGAGTGCAATGGTGAGTGAGAGGGGCAAGACCCCTGTCGCCATGGAGGTTATAGTCTAGAAGAGGAAACAGACCCTAAAGCATATGACTTGTGCAAATCTTGCTTTCCTCTGCCTATGCCTAGGGCCCCGGAGCTCCATGGACACTAGTGGTTTGATTGGGCTGACTCTTCTAGGACTGTTTCCCGTTTGTGAAACGGAGGTGTTCTTCTCTGGTAATAGTCAAGTAGGAGGCCATGGTAGTAGTTCAGTGGTAGAGTTCTTGCCTTCCATGTGGACGACCTGGGCTCGAAACCCAGCAGTGAATCTCCTGTGTAGGCAGCAGTCGTCTGTCCGTGGAGGCGTGGTGCTGCTGTGATGGTAGATAGGTTTCAGGAAAGCTTCCAGACTGAGACGGACCAGGAAGGAAGGCCTGGCAGTGTACTTACGGACACTGGCCCTGAGAAGCCAATGGGCCGGTCACTGACCAGGGTGGGGGTGGCGCCGGGCCAGGCGGCATTTCGCCGGCTGTGCGCACGGTCACGTGAGTTGGACCAACTGACAGCAGTCGTTCAGACTCAAGTTCATTTAAAGAAAGACGCGTCTGGTCCGGGAGAGTTGCGTTCCTTCAGTTCGACGTGTGTCAGTCTCTGGTCTCCAGCTGTACGCGGGGCTCCTTGGAAGGGTGACATCACGCTCCAGCCTTCTCTGTTGTCCCTGCTGCCCGCTATGCAGGGCCCATGATGCAGGGCCCCTGACACAGAGCTGGGCACAAGCGTTGTTACAAACGCTGCACGTCCTTGAACGGTGTTGATTTCCTCGGGTCAGTTCTTAAGGCATGGTGAGCCTCGGCGCTGTGTCTTGTCTGTGCCCCGTGAGAGCCCCATGGAGGCTTCCCACACTCACAGGCACCGTTCTCGCAGGCAGAGCGAGCTCCTGAGACAGAGATGTGACCGACTAAGGGTTGGTGGGAAGAGGGGCTCCTCCTTTTAACAGTCAGCCCTGTGAGAGCCAGAACCTGGGTGAGGCAGACACCTGTCGGAGAAGGAAAGCTCGGCCCCCTCCCACTGGCGGAGCGAGCTCGAGTGGTGAGAGCGCACGGGGGCCAAGGGCACAGTCTTCCAAGGCCCGGGAAGCAGGGCCGTCCCAGGGAGCCCCGGCTGTCACAGGTTTCACTGGTTCCTCTTTTGTTCTCTTCTTGATTTTGATCATACTATTAGTTTCAGGAAAATGAGCTTTCAAATTCATAAGATTAGAAAGAAAAAACAGAAAGCCCTGATATAATGCCTTTGGCCAGAGACAGCCGTGCTCCTGTGTCCCAATGTCTTTAACCAGCTCCCTCGATACTGAGCAGTTGCGATGCTCTTGTGTTCTGTTGTGTTAAATAACTGCTGAAGGAAGCAGCCCCAGGATTATTGTCCCCCAAATCTGCCCTTTATTCTGATTGTTTCCTTACATGGTGTGCTCGGGAGTGCCCCCCTCCCCTTCTCTGCCTGCACAACAAGGCTCTCACATTCCCACTTTCTCTGCTGTTGCTCAGGGACCCAGATTCTGGCCAGCGGCTCCGTTCAGATTCCTAGGTTCACGCTTCTGGAGTCCGGGGGCCTGCAGATCTCCCCTGTCTACATCCAGGACGCTGGCAACTACACCTGCTATGCCACCAACACAGAGGGCTCGCTGGACGCCTCTGCCGTGCTCACCGTGTGGAGTAAGGACCCCACTTCCTGAAACCTGTCACTCACGGCCCAGTCACTAGGTCACCTCCCAGAATGTCCACATGCCCTTGGATGGGCTCATTCAATCAAAAGAGCGTGATTATTTTTACAACTCACTCATAGAAATCTGTTGAGTAATGAAATTTTCAGTTTCCAAAAGAATAATTAGAAAATGTATTCAAGATTTAATGGGGACATTTCAGGGGAGATAAAACATTAACTTAAAAAAAAAAGTCATGTTGTCAGAAGGAACCAGTCCCTGGAGAGGGATATCATGCTTGGTGGAGGGTCATCAGAAAAGAGAAAGACCCTCAATGAGATGGAGTGACGTGGTGGCCGCAGCAGTGGGCCCAAGCGCAGCAACGATTGTTGCACAGCAGTGTTTGTTCTGTTGTACACTGGTCACTGAGGTCAGAACCGCCGCGACGGCACCTGACAACAACAGTTCAAATGACTGAACCATTGTATCAGTTACTGTTATAACTATTACATGAGAAAATGACGTCAGGAACGAAAATCCTAGACCCACTGCCATAGAGTCGGCCCCGACTCATAGCGACCCCTCCTTGGGTTTCCGGGGTGGTATCACTACGGAAGTAGATTGCCCAACCTTCCTTCCGAGGAGTGGCTGGTGGGTTTGAACCGCCAGCCTTCTGGTTAGCAGGCAAGTGCCTTAGGCACCACGCCACCACAGCTCCCTAGGGAAGGTATTTTTTCCTACTCGACCATGATTATCGGCTAAGACACTTCTAGTAAATGAAGTATGAGCGTTTCTTCTGCCTTGGAAACGAGTTGAGAGAAAGACCCTTGCTCTTCCCCAGCCTTTGTCAATTCTTGTTTGCCCACAGTCCAGGCCCCTAAAGGGCAGAATAGATGGTTTCTGGAGCATAAGGACCAGGGCACCTGACAGCACAGCCCCCACCCAGTCCTGTTAGCCTGTCGCCAGCGTGTTTTCTCCCTCTGCATCCAAAGCTACGCTGCTAAAAATCCATGGTCAGAAATGCAGGAGGCGGCCTCTGGCAGGTGCGCGTAAAGCCTCTGGCCCAGGCATCCCCGGTGCACAGGGCAGAAGTGCCCACACGTCCTCTTCACGGTGGCCCTTCTGGCGCAGAAGCCAGGCCTCTCGCTGGGGGAGCCTCAGGCAGGTTCTCAGTGCCAGCCTTTCACAGACTGCCTGCGCCACCAGGGCACCACCTGGTGCGAGGGCTCCTGCTCGAGTCCTGCCCGGAAGGTTGGCAGCCTGAACCACTCACCAGCACCGAGGAAGAAGGGCCTGGCCGTCTGCTCCTATAAAAGTGACAGCCGAGAGCACACTGTGGAGCCCAGTTCTGCCCTCAGCACACGGGTCGCCTGAGGCAGAGGCAGCCTCGGCGCCATGCTTTGGTGCTGTGGGTCTGGACGCCGCAAGCGCTCGTCCGTGCTCATTCCCTCCTGGAAGCATTTGCAGACCCCCCGGGGGGCCCTAGAGGGGGGCGGCCCGGCCCTGCTGCTGCAGCGCAGAGAGGCCAGCTCACCCAACGCATCTGAGCCCTTCCACCACACTCTTTCCGCCACAAGAACCCTCGGAGGTTGTGGTGGCCGATGACCGGCCTGTTATCCTGCGAGGGAGGATGCTCTCGCACTTGCCCGTTGTCTGAGTTGTGACTTCTCTTTCAGATCGCACGTTCATCGCTCGCCCTCCAGAGGACGGGGTGGTGATTAAGGGGACCACTGCCACACTGCACTGCGGAGCCACGCACGACCCACGGATCTCCATCCGGTCAGCCCAGTGATGATGCCCAGTGGCTTCGCTGTTTCGCGGGCTGGGGACAGGGCGTTGAGTTGAGAAGGAGGGGTTGTGGGAACTTCAGTTTCAGTAGCTCACAGTGGTCGGCTCTGTCTCTTGTCACAAAGATCCCATTTTCCACCCCGTTATGGACTGGCACCGTGAGGACGTTCCACCTCATGGCTCCAGCACAGCCTTTCACACTTCTCCTGCCCAGGCTGACACACTGTTGGTCAGGTGCACTTGTCAGAGGCCGATGCTTATGGAGAGAAAAGGCCAGAGGGGTTGAACCTATTGCTGCGGGGCTTACTTGGGCCTGGGGAACACTTAGCAGGAGGTTTCCATACACCCAGGACGGTCTCCAGTGTAAGTGGAGGGGTGGGGGGTGGCCTGTCCATAGAGGAAAGGCCACCACTGTCAGGTCCAGCACTCACAGTCCAGCACACGGGGAGGAGGGACGGGATGGCTTGGAGGTTTGCTAAAGGGACTAACCTTCTGTCTTTGTGGAGCCCCTGGGGGGTGCAGACGTGTGGTCAGCAGGCTCGGCTGCTCACGGGAAGGTTGGGGGTTCGCGTCCACCCAGAGGGGCCTCAGAGGAATAGCCTGCTGATCTCCTCCTGAAAAGTCAGCCCCTGAGAACCCCATGGAGCCCACCTCTGCTCCATCCCATGCAGGGCCGCCATGGGTAGGAGTCGATGGAGCCCACCTCTGTCCCACGTGACGTGGGGCCGCCGTGGGTCAGAGTCGACGGAGCCCACCTCTGCTCTGTCCCACGTGGGGCTGCTGTGGCTTGGAGTCCATGGGGGGCGGCTGGCTTTGTTGTGCACGTGTCCCCCAGATGCACTGACTGTGGGTCCAAGTAAAGTGAAATCCTCGCAATGCCACTCTTCACTCCGTTGGCCATGACGTCCCTCATTGGTCTGCATGTGAGGATTGTTATGTGGAGGGTAGTCCATACTGAGTGCTGTAGTCTCTGATCGTCACCAGTAAGTGCTTCAAGTCCTCTTCACTTTCAGTGAGCAAGGTTGTGACATCTGCATATTACACATTGTTAATGAGTCTTCCTTCTTCCAATCTTGATGCCACATTCTTCTTCATATAGTCCAGCTTCTCAGGTTATTAGCTCAGCATACAGATTATGGAAGCAGCAGTCAAGAAATCAACATATGGCATTGGGTAACACTGTAAAGTGTTAAAAAGCAAAGATGTCACTTTGAGGACAGAGGCGTGCCTGACCCAAGCCGTGATGTTCTCAATCTCATTCACGTGTGAGATCTGGACGTTGACTGAGGAAGACCAGGGAAGTGATGCCTCTGAATGATGGTATTGGTGCAGAGGATTGAAGATACCATGGGCGGCCAGCAGAACGAACACATCTGTCTTGAAGAAGTGCAGCCGGAATGCTCCTTAGAAGTGAGAATGGCCAGACGTCGTACCTTGGACATGTTGTCAGGAGGGACCAGTCCCTGGAGGACATCATGGTTGGTGAAGCAGAGTCAGCAGAAAAGGAGAAGACCTTCAAGAAGATGGGCTGACAGTGGCTCAACACTGGGCTCAAAGGTTGTGAGGACAGCCCAGGACCAGGCAGTGTTCTGTTCTGCTGTACATAGGCTTGTTGTAAGTTGATGGCACCTAACAACAACAACCAGACACAGGAGGGCCTGAGTGGCACAGATGGTGAAGCACTGAGAAGCCGACTGAGAGGTTGGGGGTTTGAATCCCCGTAGAGGCACCTCAGGAGAAAGGCAGTCTCCTCAGCAAACCCTGCAGAGCCCAGGTCTCCGCCGACCATGTGGGGACGCCTGGCCTCAGTGTTGGCTCTCGGACTGGGCAGGTGATGACAGGGAGTCTGAGAATGCAGGTCAAGGCTGGGCACTCAGCACAGTCGGTTATCTGAGGGGAACTTTGCCCACGCAATTGTTTTTGACTCCCAGGATCAAGCCTGAAGATAAATCTAAAAGGAAAGATGGAATTATTGCGGCGTTTTCACTCTGGCCTTAGCCCAAGGGCATGCGGTTAGCCAAACGGGAAGGACCAAGATTCCACACTGCTTTCTGGACCATTTCCCTCTGGGCATCTGGGCTGTGGACTCAGACGCTGTGAACTGGGCTCACAGACCAAGCAGCTCTCACAATTCCTGGGCCAGTGTTCAGGAGGTCATGACTTCCACATCCCCACAACTCCCTGAGCCCCCGTGGCTCAGAACCCAAGTTTGCTTTAGTGACCAGAATGCTGAATGCAAACCAAACCAGCAAACAATGGCAGCAGGTTACCAGCGTACCTGGACATGTTTACAGCTTTGCTGTAGGCAGCTGTCCTGCCTTGAGAAGGAGCTGCTGTTTCTGCATGATGTGTGCATGCTTTCAATGAGAATAGGACAGACGAGCCTGTGTAAGGGTGACGTGGGGTGCCCCAACCTTCTCTACCTTCCTGGGGGAAGGAGCACCATTATGTGATCAACAGCCCGGGGCAGACACCTGTGAGGTACAGGTCAAACCCGCCTGCAGCCACCAACCTTTCTACCAATTTGGACGCCAACTCTCCCGCCTATGGCACTCTACCACTCTTCTGGGTTTGATCACTCACTGCAGTGGCCACACAGAACTCACAGACAATTGTCATGGTTATGGGGTTTATTAGGGAAGTAACAGGCTACTTCTTAGGATCAGAAGCAAGCCAGGATGCAGTTCTTCCATCAGGACAGCCCCTTCTCAGCCAAGCCACAGGCACGCTTCTCTCTGGCACTCAGCCTCGCAGCCCTGCAGCCCCTTGCCTCTGCCCTGCTCAGGCATGTGTTACATAGCTCTCTTAGCTCTGCTGATAAGTGCCTGGAGGCCCCCCACTCTGCCGTTATGCCTCACAGGTGCTGAGGTGCCTGAAGGTGCTCAGCCTTCTCGTCCTGTGGGTCCTGAGGCCCACCTCGCCATCTCCTGCCAGTCTCCTGGTTCTGCTTCTACTGTCTCGCCATCTCTTGCTGCCCCAGGAAGGTGTCACAGCTTGCTCTTTGTCTCCTGGGTCGAGGAGGTTCTCCTCACAGGGAGCCCGGTCCAGAGGGGATGCTCTGCTCCCAGCTCTTCTTGGTGGTAGCCAGATCCCCCTTTCTGCCTCTGGGATGGCTCGTTCTATGCCAGGCAGGATAGCAAAACCGACTAACCCCCACATGAGAGTCCAGATGCCTTATTTGCCTGGTCCCACCCCCACAAGGGTGTTGTGCTGCTTATTTGCATTGTTGACAACTCTCCAGGCCCCTGGGTGGGCCGTAAGCACCTCCCATTTGCATAGTCCCAGCCAGTCATCTGGTGGGAGTCACAGGGACAGTGGCTAGAAGGGCCACATCACATAGTTCACTGCTCTGCGCTTGTTTTCCTGCCATTCCGAGAGCTTGCAGAGTCCACTTGGGTCTTTGTGGGTTTCTTGTTCCTTTTACATGGGATCAAACAGGCCAACTTGGAGCCTTCTTGTTGTGTCCTGTGGAGTGGGTTCCAGCCCGTGGGACAGAGCAGAAGGCCCACGCGGGGTTTCTTGGGCTGTCATCCTTATGGATGACTCAGGTCTTCAGGTCTCTCTCGGAGCTGCTGGGGGGGTTTGAACCTCAAACCTTTCAATGAGCAGCCACACACTGAACTTTGTGCCACCAGATCTCTTTGGATCCTCGATGACAAGAAGGAAATACATTGTTGGTCTTGCGCACCCTTGTCCCCAGAGCACCAAGCCCCGGTGACAGTCCCAGCTGAATGCCATACCCCAAAGGAGCCATGAACTCACGTCCTTCCTGTGGAGATGGTCCTGTCCTGCCTTGGGGTAATTTCAGACAAGCAGTTTGTAGTGTGTGTGCTCTGTGCCTATTAAGATTCTAAAGGACCAGCCACCTTTTGAAAATCCAAGCAAATTATTTTGAAAACCTACTCTCATCCTCCCTAAGCAAAGACAGGGCAGGCTTTTAATTAATTCTGGATTTGCAAAGGAAAATGTGCTGAAACTCACAGATGCAGATGAAAAGAGAAAGAAATGCGATTTTAAGGACAACCTGCCAGAATGGTTGGATCTTAGGAAAAGATGTTGATGAGGTGTGCTCGGGCCAGCCTCCTCTGGGTGTGTTGACAGGATGCACGACCTGCCCTGCGGACAGCAGTCTTTCCTCCAGCAGCGTTCCGGGCAGGTGTGTCAGACGCAGCCTTTGTAGGTGATGTCTCATCTCTAAACCAAAGACAGACAGACATCCCAAGTGATCTTCCTCAACCTTTTCAGCGTCAGCATCTCATTCTGTACTATGACCGAGGAGTCTAGTTAATGGAGATTTCATTCCATGATGGAAATTCCCCCATCAAGTGCACTAGGCAGCAGTTGTTAGTAGTCACGAGTCGCTTAATGTCTGTGCTACGTTCTGTGAAATAGGACATTCTGATTTGGATGGTATGCAAATACATCACACATTACATATTATGTAAGGCAGTCACCAGATGACCAAAGAGTTCAGTTCCTGAGTCTGTCTTTAAGTCGGGTTTGTCCGTACATCGGAACAGTTACATGCAGTTCCTCTCTGACATCAATTACTCGGATGCTGGTCTGAGTGTACAGTGCACACTTCTGTGCACTACAGACATTACAGAGACACGTCCAGACTCACCAAAACACCATCACCATGGTGATAATACCATCGCCATAGTGATAACACCATAGTGGTAGCAATATCTGATTCATATCATAGCAGCATCCATTAGTCATCATGAGCCATTGTATCTACCTAGGGTTTTTAATCTAATAGGCTTTCCAGGGGTTGGGAGCACAGACACGTATCTGAATGGAAGTGATGGGGTGCAGGACTGTATATTCACAGGTTGTCACTTGCTGGTATTCCAGCAGATGGGGAAGGACTCGTGGTCCTATTCCCATGGGTTTTCTAACTCAGACCTCTTTGCTTGGTCCACAGCTACGTTTGGAAGAAGGACAACGTGATGATCAACCCTTCTAGCAGTTCCAGAATTGTGGTGGAGAAAGACGGGTCACTCCTCATCAGTCAGACGTGGTCAGGAGACATTGGTGACTACACCTGCGAAATCATTTCTCAAGGAGGGAATGACTCCCGGACGGCCCGGCTGGAAGTCATGTGAGTATTGCGCTCATTACAATTAACCATCTCCTAATTACCCTGATTACCTGCCTTGTGGAGAAGGGACTGATATTGTCAGGGTTTCCATTTTACTTGGATTCACCATCACCTCCCATGGAAGCAACAGTGAAGACATCTAACAACATATTGCATTGGGCAAATCTGCTGCAAGGGACCGCTTTACAGTGTTGAAGAGCAAAGGTGTCACTTTGAGGACTAAGCTGCATCTGACCCAACTCACGGTATTTTCAGTAGCCTCATAGGCACGTGCTGGCTGGATGACGAATGAGGAAGAACACAGAAGAACTGATGCCTTTGAATTGCGGTGTGGCTGAAGGATACTGAATGCACCATGGATGCCAGATCCAACACATCTGTCTTGGAAGAAGTGCAGCCGGAATGTGCCTTTGAAGGGAGGATGGTGAGGCACGTTACAGGAGGGAGCAGTCCCTGGAAAAGAGCATCTACTTGGTAGAGCAGACGGTCAGCAGAGGAGGAGACCCCCCATGAGACGGACAGCCACCGTGGCTGCAGCAATGGACTCACACAGCAGTTCCCCTGAGGAGAGGCGGGGCCGGGCGGCGTCTCCCGCTGCCCACGGGGTCACTGGGAGCGGGACCCGACTCAATGGACTCACACAGCAGTTCCCCTGAGAGGAGGAGGGGCCGGGCAGCGTCTCCTGCTGCCCACGGGGTCACTGGGAGCTGGACCCGACTCAATGGACCCAAACAACAGTTCCCCTGAGGAGAGGCGGGGCCGGGCAGCGTCTCCTGCTGCCCACGGGGTCACTGGGAACGGGACCCGACTCAATGGACTCACACAGCAGTTCCCCTGAGAGGAGGAGGGGCCGGGCAGCGTCTCCTGCTGCCCACGGGGTCACTGGGAACGGGACCCGACTTGACGGCACCTGGCAACAACCACAGCCTGGCTGCATCCAGTCACCAGCGTTGGAGGTGACTGACCGACACTTTGGTGCTCACACTGTGTGCAGGTCCGCAGCAAGGAGCCGTCACAGCATGCTACGTCAGACCAGGTGCCGTCACGTCGCCTCTGACTCATGGCGACCCCTGTGTGTCAGGGCAGGGCTGCACTCCGTGGGGTCGCCCAGGGTGATTTCTCAGCCGCCCATCACCAGGTCTTTCTTCCAAGGTCCCTCCAGGGGACTTCAAACTACCAACTTTTCAGTTTATAGCAGGGTGCTTAATTGCTTGCTCCACGCCAACAAACAAACAAATGAAAAACCTCTTGCTGTCCAGTTGGTGCCGACTCCCAGCAACCGCATAGGACAGGGTCCAACTCTCCATGGGGTTTCTGAGGCTGTCATCTTTTCAGAAGCAGACTGCCACAGCTTTCTCCCACAGAGCAGCTGCTGGGTTCCAGCCACTGACTGTCGGTTGGCAGGTGAGCCCTTACCCACTGTGCCACCAGGGCTACTCTTGCTCCACCCAGAGACCTACTTATGCTGCACAGCCACGGACATTCAGGGGGTTTTCTGTGAGCTCAGCATTAAAATGTCCCATCCTTAGTCCAGATGGTTTGATGATTGGCTTTTAGGCTTCTGTCCTCATTGATCCCCTTGGTGTGTCCCCCCACTGGCACCACACAGTGATGGGCTCAATTTACCAACCACATTCTAGTAACAAGTTCATTTTTCCATTTAGTGGTCTTCAGAGCTCCCACCTGTGAAATGTCAGGGTTGGCCCACTGAGGTGAGGCTGTTCACTGAAAGCCAGGTACACTGTGCCTTTAAGTGAATTCCAGCCCCCACTCTGTGGGTAAATGCATCCTTTCTGCTGCGTCTTTTGAAATCCTGAAAATAGCAAGCAGCTGCCCATTACCGCCACTCTGGGCCTGCCTGGGGGTCCACGTGCCCAGGCAGAGACCATTGATCCCCTTCCCTGCACGCCCCTTCTCCTCTCAACTCTCTCTGCTCTTAGAGCTCGAAGCCGAAATGCCTGCTGACAGATTTTATTTTTCCAACATGTACTTTTTGCTTTTTAAACATGGTGCCCTCCCAGATAGTCCCTGAGCACATAAGTACAAAATAAAGCTGCAAAGTAAAGAATCAAAGCAGAGCTGTTGTCAGGGCTACAGCTGCACGTGCCAAACCACCTCTGCCATGTACCACACGCTGGGCTGTTAGAGAAGGCAATTTTGAGAGATTCCTCTCTCTGTACCATGCTCACGTTGAGCCAAGAAGGATTCCACCTACCAAAATCACTCCCTGAGAACAGCATGAGACACTTAGGCTGAGGCCATGCCTCATTTGTCTTTGAACCCATAGACATCCACCAAGGGCATGAAGAACAAAGAAAGCACACAGCCTGCCGTGCTTGTCACACACACATATGTGCATGAATGAACAAGCAATGTTCCCTTATGTGCCACTTACAGGATTTGAGAGGCCATAGCTGCTCCAGATAGCCATGTGTTAGACCTTCAGTGCTCAAGGGGCGTCCTCCCCCGGCTTCTCTATCTCTCCAGCATCACTCGTGATCTCTTTGAAGGTTTACTCCCTGTTGGGGGCAAAGATGCCCTAGCAGTGCCTCCCCAGCCCTGGGCAGATGCTGGGGGTCCAGGTGGCCCAACTGTAATATTTTTTTATTGTTGTTAAGGACATTCACAGCAGAACATGTGCCATTTCCATAAGTTCTCCATGTATAATTTGTTCACAGTGATTACATTCTTTGAGTTGTTGCAACAGTTCTCACCATCATTCTCCAAACTGTTTTTCCCCTGTTAACATAAACGCACTGCCCCCATGCTTCCCATACAACCTCTAGAGTTGCTGTTGTCTGTTTCCACATCAATAATTCTTCACAAGGGCGTGATGCTCAAGGCAGGCGTCCTTTACTAGTTAAGATGAAGTGTGGTTTGCTTTCAAGAAGACTGCAGAGGATGTTTTTGGCTTAACGTTTAAGGTTTGAAGATTGTCAAGGCAATAATTTCAGGGCTTCTTCAAGCTCCATAGCTCCAGAAGGTCTTGAGTCCATAAGAATTTGAAAATCTATTCTGGGATTTTCCCCTTTTGATCAGGATTCTTCTATAAAATCTTTGGTCACCCTGTTTGGTCATGGTAGCTGGGCACCATCCACTTCTTCTGGTCTCATGGCAAAGGAGGCAGTTGTTCATGGAGGCAATTAGCCACACATTCCGTACCCTCCTCCCATTCCTCTCCTTCTTCCACACAGATCACGCTCCAGTCTTCTAAATGTGTGTGGAAGTGCCAGGGTCTCCCCTGCTCCCTGCCTCCAGTCCTTAGAGCCCAGTGCCCTGCCCAGGACCCCCCTCACCTGCCTGATAGACCTCAACCATCTGCTGCCTCCATGGCTTGACTGGTGTCTTCTGGGCTGTGCCACAGGGTCACTGCCTTCCATTGTGACATGTGAGCATCTCCCACTGAGCTTCCCGGCCTCTGCTGCAATCCTCTCTCCTAGTGCCAGTCATACTGGACCGTAGGAGCCAGTTTTCAGGATCCCTACCCCTCTCTGTTGGAGTAGGAGCACTTGATGTCATATTCTTGCATCCTGGGCCCTGGCATAGTGTTTGATACACAATAAGCCCAGTTGTTCTTGACTCAGTTCCAACTCAGACTGCCTCGGGTGTGTCAGAGCAGACCAGTGCGCTGCAGGGTTTACAATGGCTGGTTCCTCAGAAGTTGATCACCAGGACTTTCTTCTGAGAAGCCTCTGGGTTGACTC